CAGGTGGTCGTGAACACTTGGATGATGGATGTTCAATGTTTCTGCAATCTCTCATGTCATGTAATGTGGGTTTGACTCGATCAATGTCTTTATTTTGCCATCATCAACCTCGGTGGGCCTCCCTGACCAAGGAGCGTCATTGAGATAAAAATTACCAGCACGGAATTTCGTGAACCTTCGTTGGCACCGACATTCTTGTAGAGCATTGTCACCATAAACTTTATGCAACTTTTCACAAGTTTGACACGCATTCTTCCCTTTATGAAAGTAAAACAGTAAAATATGGCAAAATGCACAGTTTGGTCTTCCATCTTCAACCTGTTGTAAAATCTCCAAAACTCAACCAAATTGCTTAATTTTTTAAGAATGAAGCTAGAACTGTCAGCTCTCAAATGACATAGCAATAACATAGATGTGAATGACTCTAGTACTTCCAAAAATGAACTAGTGCCATCTATCGCAAACATGTGTCATGACTTTTCTGACAACCCATTAGTTTATTTTACTTCTAAAGCATATTTTCTTTTCAAACCTAAGTTCTGTAACCTCTTGCTCCAAAGGAGCAGCAAGGTGTAAATGTTCCCAGCTTGAGGTCTTCTCAGTTCAGCCGTTGGTACATCTAACCCTCAGGTATATTTTCATTATTTTAAATTAACTGTTTAATTAAACTGTTGCTTTTGTTAGCAACCACAGAATTCAGAAGGAGTGGGATCACACAGCCCTCAGATGCACTCATATTCTCTCTGTGTTGCTCTGTACTTTTTGTGCACACCCCAAACTCTCTCCACTTGGCAGTCACATTGAATTTGAGCATATTTTGTTAGACAAGACAACTCCCAGTCCTTTTTCTCTCTGTTTCCTGAGGACTGCCCGTCCATCACTTCCAAGGAAAACAAACTCTTAGACAACAGGGCAGCAGACCAGAAAATATGAGCAAGCTTAAGATGAAGAGAGAAACAGCAAGAGATCAGCAGAAGGGCATGTGCTAATTGAATGGGGTTTGGAGGTCATCATCCCTAACAGAGAGACATGCACGTTTCTTCTCCATTTTTCTTCCCCTTTGTCTGCAGTTGGTACATGTATGGTTCCATAGGGTGATTATGATATAGCAGAAAGGGAACCTGACCAGAGTCAGGTATTTGACTTTTGAATCCAGTTTTCCCAAGGTGTTTCCTGGGTCAAACTTGTGTGTCTTTTAGGCAAGGCAACTTCTGGGTCTTGGTCTTTCTTATAAGCAAAATGGAGCTAGTAACATATCCTTTATGGAGATACTAGAAGTAATTTATGGGTATGTGTATATAATATGCTTGGCAGAATGGAAAACACTAAGTATAATGTAAGAGGGACTCCTTAACCCATCCCTTAGAGCCCAGAGACAATAGTTGTGAGAGTGTTCTGTATGTATGTAGGTATATGTGTATTCACCTGCACTTGTGTGGTAAAGTCCTTCTTGCATATAAAAGACTGTGTTCCAGGTGTACCTGGCTCATCATTTGATTAAACTCTCTCACCAGAAAAGGCAAATTTCCCCCCACAAAATAGGAGTTGGGGGATATAAATAGTATTATTAAAGAATTCTGGCTTCTACAAAAGCATTTTTCAAAAACCAAAACCAAAACCAACAGCTGGGCTACCAAGCTATACTGAACACAAGTGTCCTGGGAGCTCATGGAAACATCTCCCTGTCTCCACACACACAATTTTCTATTCCCAGGTGGAATACAGGTTCAGGAGACAGTTTCTTATTCTTGATTATTGATGTCAATGGTGGAAATTATAGGCATTAAGACAGAAAATTAAGGAAATTACCACTCTGTCATAATAATAATAATAATAAACACTTAATGATTAATATGTTGTCAATGTATTAACTTATTTAATTATCACTTCAAACCTATGTGATAAGTTTTGTTATTATCCCCATTATATATATGAGACAACTGTGGAAGATTTAAGTAATTTCCCCATGGTTACATAGGTAATAAATGGTAGAACTGTCTCCCAAACCCAGGTGGTCTGCCTCCACATTCTGTGTTCTTAACCTCTGCACTTAATATGATGCATTACTGAAATATTTCAAAGCACATAATTTATTCACTCAACAAACATTGATTAATCTCTTGTCTGGGCTCCCACAGCTCTTTTTCATACCTTTTGTAGAACTAATATATTCAATGCAATCATTTGTTGATGTCTGTTTTTGTTTTACTAGACTGGGTGCTCTTTGAGGACAAAGACCATGCCTGAAGCGTCTGTTTCATTCACAGTATCACTTAGATTAGGGCATGACATGTTCTTTGAGTTGGCCGTGGGGCAACCTTGGCTATGTGTTCTGGAGTCAGGTAAATAAACACAGTCTCTAGCATCAGGGAGCTCCCAATCTATGAGATGGCCAGACATAGGAAAAATGGCATTCCTCCAATAAGGCAGAGTGAAATGAGACCTATAATTATGGTCTTACAGTTTGTTGCTGGAGCCTCAGAGAAAGGATCAATTAATTCTCAATGAACCTGGAATAAAATGTTCTGGGTAATATTGCTATGAAATATAATGTAAAATAACACCATCACTCAATACAATTTAGCTTTAGTTCTATTTTAGTCAATTTTTGGACATTTTGGCATTTGGGCATTAGCTTTGGAATTCAGAGAAAGATAAGCTCTGCTTATAGATGCAAACAGGACAGCTTAATGTAAAGAGCCATTAAAGACACATATCAGAGTCATGCAGACCCAAGGTTGAATCCCAGCTCTTCCACTTATAGGCTATCTGATTCTGAACCTCAGTTTTATTTTTTTTAGCCTCAGTTTTCTGAATTACTAAAAGAGATAACAATAGCACCTACCTGACAGAGTTGTTGTATTGATCCAATGAGTTAAAACAAATAAAATTATTAGCAGATTTAGTAGGTACTGAATAAATAGTAGTTTCCTTTCATTTTAAACAATTAACAATAAATATGTTTGTTTGCTAGCTTATCTACTTAAGTTTTATTTAGTTATTTTAAATAGGCAACATATTCTCATGGTATGCAATTGAAAACATACATAAGGGTATTGTACAGGTTAGCTGCAGCTTCAAAAATGCTGCCTAGCAAACTAACCCCAAACCCTGCACCTGCATCACATATATCAAACAAAGGACTACTACAACAATATCTGTAAATAACTCTCACAACTCAGAAAGAAGACAAATACTACCCTCCCCCGAAAAAAGAAAGACAAAAAGATTTGAACAGACACTTCTTAAAATAAGGTATATGGAAGGCCAATAAGCACACGAGACTATGCACTACATTATTAGTCATCAGGGAAATGCAAATTAAACCCCAATTAGATACTTCTACATACCCTTTATATTGGTTATAATTATAAAAGACTGACCATATGAAATGTTACAAAAATGTGGGGCAACTGGAACATCCATTCTCTTGCTAGTGAGAATGCAAAATGGTCCAAACACTTTGGAAAACAGTTTTTCAGATTCTTAAAAAGCTAAGTATATGCCACTACATGGCCCAGTCATTCCACTCCTAAGTATTTATCTAAGATAAATGACACTGTATGTCCACACAAAGGCTTACATGAATGTTCATAGCAGCTCTATTCATAATAGCCCCAAATTGGAAACAACCCAAGTGTCCATGAACAAATGAATAAACAAAATGTGATATATCCATACAATGGAATACTGCTTGGAAATATAGAAGGATGGACTTTCGATATATGCTATAACCGGAATGTGTCTCAAAATCATTATTCTGAGTGAATGAAGCCAAGCATGAGAGTATATACAATTCAATTTATTTAAAATTGTAGAAAACTCAAACTGATCTATAGTGAAAGAAAGCAGATCATTGGTTGCCTGGGGCAGGGGTGGAGAGATAGATGGATTACAAAGGGGTACAAGGAAACTTTTGGGGTTGATAATTATCTTCGTTGAAGTGATAGTTTCATGTGTGTATACATACATTAAAACTGATAAAATTGTAAAATTTAAATTTGTGCTGTTTTTTACTTTGATTATACCTAATAAAGTTATGTTTAAACAATATCAGTACCATACCATATTTTTACTTCTTACTCATGCAAATGTGGGTCTTCTGGTGTTCTGATGATCTAGGGTGATTCTGCTGGATTTGGCTTGAGCCTGCAGGGCCTAGGTCTGCTCCAGTTGTCTCTCATTCTTCTTGGACCAGCAGCCTACCTAGGTCAAGTTTTGTTATGATGATGGCAGAAGAGGAAGAGATTGAACAAGAACATGCAGTATCTATTAAAACTTCAGACTGACACTGGTGCACTATCATTTCAACCCAAATTCCATTTGCTAAAATCAAGTCACATGACCAAGCCCAACATCAGTGAGGTGGGCAAATAGACTTTTTGAACTCTATGGGGTAGTACTGAAAAGTAATTGCAAACAATGATTCAAAGTATTACAGGTGTATACAGTGAAAAGTCCCCATTATATCCACTATTCTGTATCATCCGTTTCCCTCCCCAGAGGCAACCACCAACACCTAATTTTTTGTGTGTTTTTAAGTTATATGAATATATAAGTAAATATCTATTGTACAATTTCTTCATTTACATAAATGGTTATATACTATACAAACTGTTTTGTGTTTTGCTTATTATTTATTTTGGAGACTGCTCTATATCATTATATAAAAAGATTTCTTGGCTGGCCGAGTGGCTCAGTGTGTTAAGAGCTCACTCAAGAGTGCGAGCTCTGAGCAACAGGTTCACCAGTTTGATTCCTGGCAAAGCTTCATTTTTTCTGTTTTACTGCTATATATGCCCTCATATGTAGGTACCATAATTTAATCAGTCCCTTATCTACAGGCATTTTGGCTGTTTCTAATATTATAGTTTGCTATTACAGAAAATGCAGCAACTAGTTTCACATACACATCAATTTATACAAGGGGAATGATATTTGGATATATCTGATGACTAATTTAAAAAATTCTAAAAGCAATAAATTTTATCTTGGTTCAGGTCTTGCCAGTAAAGAGATGCTGATGAAACCAGAACTGAGCATTCTTGGTGATCAAGTGGTGATCCAGGCTGGTGGAACGTTTGACATAACCTGCAGGTAATAATATCAAGGCCCTTGAACTTTCCCTGATTGAAAGAACCATGGTAGGGAGCTCAGAAAAGTTGAGTTTTTGATCATACTCCAAATTATTTCTTTTACAACAACAATAAGTAATAATTTCTGGAAGGTGATATTTCTTGCTATTCGTTTTCACAACGTGTACTTCTCTGGGTAGTGCTGGTTAACTTTTCCGCTGAATCCAGGTGTCTTTGTCTTTGGTTCCCTTCTTTTTTATCATTAACTTTCTCACACATTTCAAGAAATTAATTTGACTTTTAAAGTCCTTAATATGCCAGAGTGTACATTAATTCTTTTGGCAAGGATCTTGCTGTTAACTTATTGGTTTACAATGCCAATAGCACAGTATGTGACCCTGTAGACTTTGCTTTGTTATGGTTACACTTTACAGAACTATTTTTAAATGTTACCTATTTCCTTGATATCTACAACATCACATTTCTTATAGATTCACATGCATGTGGCCAAAGGAACAATTTCATGTTTTCAAAAAATATCTAGAGAACTGGAAGTGGGCTCTACTTCTCTTCTCCTTTGTGTTCTTCATTTTGATGAATTATTAGAAGATGGCAATTCTAGCAGAAAGAGAATAAATACAATTTGAATGATTCAGAGAGAATTTTATATTATAAGAAGAAGAAGTGGGGGGTGTGGGACATAAAGCAGGTTAGAGATGGAGATGTGAGAATCACTCAAAGAAATTGGATGAAAGTTGAAACTATATGAATAGAGGAGCATAATAATGGAATGTGTGTTGAGTGAGGAGAAAAAAGGGTATAGGTTATAATCTTGAGAAGCCCCTATGCTTCAAGATTGCATGGGCAGGAAGGGTAGTTGGGAAAGTGCATGAAGAATGGGTAAGAGGGAGAAACAAGAGAGAATTATCATAAGGGAGAGAAGGGATTTAAGAAAGGAGTGGCCAAATTCTGTGGCAGATACAAGTATAGGTTCTCAATAAATGTGTATTGAATCTAACTGAAGTGAAAACAGAGTACAGTGCCCCCTCCTTCTTTAAGCTAACCAATGCCCCAGTGTATCAGTAAAGGTTAGGTTGTAATGTATGCAATAGGAAACCCAAGTTAACAGTGGCTTTTAGAAATAAAGTTTAATTATTTTATGGAAAAATACCAAAGGGTGGATATCTGGGGCTGGCATCCCAGTCCCATGCAATCATTAGAAACTCAGACTCCTTCTGTATTGTAGATCTATCTTCATTAACTAATGGATTCCACCATGTGGTCCAAAATGGCTACTCAAACTCCAGCCATCATGTCTGCATTCAAGCTAGTTGGAAATAAGGAAGGTAAAGAAAGGCATGCTCCCTCTCCCTCCCTCCCTCCCTCCCTCTCTCTCTCTCTCTCTCTCTCTCTCTCTCTCTCTCTCCTCAAAGACTTAATTTTCTTTTATTTTTAAACAATTTTTATTGTTTCAATTACAGTTGACAAAATATTAGTTTCAAGTGTACAACATAGTGATTAGACATTTATATAACTTCCTAGGTGATCACCCAATAAATATAGTACCCATTTGACACTGTACATAGTTACTAAAATATTATGGACTATATCCCCTATGCTATACTTTGCATCCCACCGACTATTTTGTAACTGTCAACTTGTACTTCTTAATCCCTTTCTCTTTTTCATCCATCACACCAATGCCCCTCCCATCTGGCATCTATCAAAATGTCCTCTATATCTATCAATTTGTTTCTGTTTTGTTTTATTTATTTATTTATTTAGATTCCATATATAAGTGAAATCATATGGTATTTGTCTTTATCTGATTTATTTCACTTAGTATAATACTCTCTAGGTCCATCCCTGTTGTAAATGGCAAGATTTCATTTTTTCTAATGGCTGATTAATATTCCATTGTGTATATATACCACTTCTTTCTCCATTCATCTACTGATAGATACATAGGTTGCTTCCATATCTTGGCTATTGTAAATAATGCTACAATGAATACATGGATGCATATGTCCTTTCAAATTAGTGTTTTGGGTTTCTTTGGATGAATAACCAGAAGTGAAGTGGGATTTGGGTTTTTTTGGATAAATACCCAGATGTGGGTCCTTCTTTCTCTTGTTATAGCCTTTGTTTTAAAGTCTATTTTGTCTGATATAAGTATTGCTACTCCAGCTTTTTTCAGTTCCATTTTCATGAAATATATTTTTTTCCATCTCTTTACTATCAGTCTGCGTGTGTCTTTCAATCTGGAGTGTCTCTTGTAGGCAGCACATGTAAGGGTCTTGTTTTCTTTTCCATTTAGCCACCCTATGTCTTTGGATTGAAACATTTAATCCATTTACATTTAAAGTAATTGTTGACAGATATATAGTTATTGCCATTTTACTATTCATATTTTATATATATTTTTTTCTTATACAAGTCCTTTTAGCATTTCCTCTAATACTGGTTTGGTGGTGATGAATTCCTTTAGCTTTTTCTTGTCTGGAAAGATCTTTATCTCTCCTTCAATTTTAAATGATAGGCTTTGCTGGGTAGAGTAATCTTGGTTGTAGGTCCTTGCTTTTCATCACTTTGAATATTTTGTGGCAATCCCTTCTGGCCAGCAAAGTTTCTGTCGAGAAATCAGTTGGTAGTCTTCTGAGAACTCCCTTGTAGGTTTTCTTTTGCTGCTTTTAAGATTCTTTCTTTGTCTTTAACCTTTGGCATTTTAATTATGATGTGTCTCGGTGTGGGCCTCTTTAGGTTCACCTTGTTTGTGACTCTGTGCTTCCTGGGCTTGTATTACATATCTATTATCTTCACCAGGTTGGGGAAGTTTTCAGTCATTATTTTTTCAAATACATTCTCAATTCTTTGCTGTATCTTTTCTCCTTCAGGTACCCCTATGATGAAAATGTTGGTATGCTTGATGTTGTCCCAGAGACCCCTTAAACTATCCCTATTTTTTAAATTCTTTTAATTTTTTTATGTTATCTATCTTCTAAACTGCTGATTCAATCCTCTGCTTTATCTAATCTATTGATTCCCTCTAATGCATTTTTCATTTCAGATATTATATTATTTATTTTTGACTAGTTCTTTTTTATGTTTTCTATCTCCATTTTTATGTTTCCTATCTCTTTGTTGAAGTTCTCCATGAGATCACTGAGCATCTCTATAACCAGTGTTTTCAACTCTAGTAGATGGCTTGCATCCATTTTGTTTAATTCATTTTTTGGACTTTTGTTCTGTTCTTTCAATTGGGACATGTTTCTTTGTCGCCTCATTTTGGCTACATCCCTGTGTTTGATTCCATGTGTTAGGCAGAACTGCTATGTCGCTTGGTCTTAGCAGAGTGGCTTTATGCTGTAGGGCACAGTGGCATAGTCTCCCTGATCACCTGAGCTGGGTGCTTCAGGTGTGTCCCTTGTGTGGGTTGTGTGTGCCCTCCTGTTGCAGTTGAACCTTGTCACTGTTTGCATATCAATGTGAGGGATTGACCCTCAGGCTGAATGGTTTTGAGTACTGGTCATGACAATAGTGGAGGAGCTGTTGTGCAGAGGCCAACCCTAAGGAGCAAGAATTGTTTTAGCTGGGCTCTGGTTCCTGTCCAGTCTGCCCTTTGTGTGTCACCCTTGGAGGTGGCCAGATGATTCTCTGGCTCAATCCGAAGCTGGCCACTGGGAGCGCCAGCTCTGGGGCCTCCTGGGAAGGGCCCTGTTGCAGGCCAAGTTCAGTTACAGCTTGTATCCTGCCCATGGCGACTGGCAGGAGCCAAAAAGCAATCTGCATAGGGCTGTCACCTGTGCTGGGCTTGGAGGTGCTTGAAGAGGCCAAGCCATGAACTGAGGCTGGCTGCTACTAGTGCTGGGCTTGGGGCTGTTCAGCAAGATGTATGGGACATGCCAAGGCCAGATGCTGGCTTGTTTCGGTATTGTGAAACTGATAAATTTTAGGAAATTCTGCAGCATGAGACAAGGCACACCAATTGTATGGAAAAGCCACTTGAAGCAACTTGGGTCAGCCTTCAAGTTGGGTGGGGCAGGGGTCTCAGAATCACCAGGGAGTGGCGAATGGTATTAGCTAGGTTGATGGAGACTCAAATATGGTGCCTGCCTGTGTGATCAAGCTGGGTAAGGGAAGGGCTCAACAATTCAGTTCATCTCCTGTATGTCCCTGGCACCTTTGTAGCTGCTGCCCTAGCTCTGCAGCTCAGAGTGAGTGAGTCTGTCATTGAGTAAATCCACGCAAAAGCCCTTTAAGTGGAATGCCTGGAACTCCAGCAGCCCTTCGCCCCACTCAGCCACATTCTTCACTGCTTTTCAGAGCCACAAGTTATGGGGACTTCTCTTCTTAGAACTGAAACCCCAAACTGGGGAAACTTGTGTGGGGCTGGGATCCCTTGCTCCTTAGGGTAAAGCTTTGCAGCTGAGATATTCTTCCCAATTTTTAACCACCACACATAGGTATGGGACCAGCCCAGTCCACATCTCTGCTCCTCCTACTAGTCTTGAGATGGCTTCTCCTGTATATCCTTAATTATAGGACTTCTGTTCAGCTAGACTTCAGGCAGTTCTCAATGATGGTTGTTTTGTACTTTAATTGTAATTTTGAAGTCTGTGAAGAGTCAAGCACAGCATTTACCTACTCTGCCATCTTGACTGGAAGTTCATGCATTCTCTCTTTAAGAACATTTCCCAAATGCTCTATACTCCACTTGTGTGTGTATCCCTTTGACTAAAATTTGTCACATGGCCACAATTAGCTGTAAGAGAGATTGGGAAATATAGTGTTTTTTTTTCCTGCAGGCCATATGCCCCACTAAAAAAGTAAATATTTTATTACTATGCAAAATAAGGAACAGATATTGCCATGCCTAGTGATTTACACTAGATAAAATATAGCGATAAGCATGATATTTATTTTCTATTTCCATAGCATAACTGGAAAGTGGGGTCCTCCCATCCTACATCTTGTACTCTCCCTTCAGGGGGTTCCCTTTTCTCCTAGCTCTAAGCTTCCAAC